ACTGTGAATAGGATGCTAGGTGGGCCAGTCTTCAGACCACAGTGGTGACAGCAGTGAGCTGACTATTCCTGTCCTTGGGCCCTAGGGCGGTATACACTAGCACTGGTGTCAGTTGGTCCAAGCAGGTTGACTCTTGGGCTTTCAGGTAGACTGTCTGGATGCTGCAGTGGCTGGGCATGTGGGTGCGTTCTTGGGTTCCTGGGCAGTGGGTGTGACGTGGGTGATGGCAGTAATGGTGGTAGGGCAACTCACTGGAACCCCAGTGGTCCATGTTGGTGTTGGCGGTGGCTGCAACAGGATGTCATGCTCAAGTATTGGGGCATGTGACTAGGCCAATGGACTTGCGCTCAGGCTCCCTCGTAGTGCATTCAGGTGCTGGCTGTGATACGCAGGGAGGGGTGGTCTCTAGGTTGCCAGGAGTGGCGGCTCTGAAGGCCTGCCACCAGAAAGGGTAGGGCCACTCTCAGTAGGTGCAGAGTAGGCAGGTAGCTGTGGGATATGCAGTCTCCTTGAGCCTTGGTCTCACAGCAGCCCTCAGCAGTGGTGGTGGGATTTGCTTTTGTGGTAGGTGAAAGTGCCTGGCCTCTCTTCTTCCTGTGTGGCCCGGCAGTGGCAGCATCAGCCCTGGCCCAGGGAAGGACACAGACCTGTGGAAGCTTGGCTCTCAGAATGGCGCTGGCTATGGGCCTGCTCCTGGGGAGGCTGGGGCCATTCTCAGGGGAGCTACAGGGGGTGGGCAGGCAGCTACAGGAGGTGGGATTTGCTTGTGTCTCAGTCCCACAGCAGCCTGCAGCAGCAGGGGGATCTGTCCCTGGGGTGTGTGGCGGTGTCCACTCTCCTCTCTGTCCTTGGCCCGGTGGTGGCAGCATCCGCAATAGTCCCAGGGCAAGATGCAGTCCTTTGGGGGCTTGGTTCTCAGTATGGCACCAAACTGCAGCGACTCAGAGCTCGGAAGCCTGTGGGACTCAGTGTGAATTCCCTCTCTGGAGCAATGCCTCTGTGTGATCCCTAGGCAGCTCCCTGTGGTAGTCTTAAGGCCCACGTGAGTCGAGGGATTCTCCTGTCGCTAGGACTGTAGAAGTCCTTGGCTGGAATGTGGAGCCCTGGGGATCTCTCACTTATGCTTTCCCCACATCTGGAAGCTTCTTCCAGCTCCCCAGTCATTCCTGGCCAAGCAGGCTGCCTCGTTTCCCTCTGCTTTGCTTTCCGTGCTTCCTGTCGCTCCTCGGTTGCCTTTGTGTTCTCTCTTAGATCATCTATTGGAAGTGTGAATATGTACTTGTTATTTTGGTCCCGCTCCATGGAGGAGCATATACTAGTTGCATTTAGTTGTCCACCTTGATCAGTTCTCCTCCCAGGTCAATTATTTTAGCATACGCTATTTGCTAGCATCATTAAAAAATGATCTAAGCTTTCTAATATCCTAATTTTAAAAAGCAAGTGATAGTACAGAAGTCAAAACTGTATAGCAAAACCCTCTCTTCTGGGTTTGGGATTCGGGGGCACACAGTGGAGTCTTGTTATCTTCTGCTGATGTCACCTGTGTGAGGTCTCATTGCGGTGGAGGGAGGGACATGATTTCGGCGAAAACTGATTTCATGGCACTATGGTGGATCACAAGGAGACATTCAGGACATCAGTCTGGAGACCATAAGGTGCCCTGGCATTTCTCTTCCAAATGACACGACTGATTATACTTCTGTTTCCATCACCTGGTGTGCTATTTTAAAATGTTGATCTTACAAGTCATGAACAATACAGCCATGTGTTATTTCAAGTTTCTTCTGAATTCTGAGCTGATGAAAAAAGTAAACCTTTGACAAATCCTAAATGCAATGAAAGTTAGCCTCTCTCCAGAATAACCTAGATACATGCATACATAGGTAGTATTTACTTTTTTCTGGTCAACAAACTAGGGGCATATTCTTTTTGCACTGTACTTTTTAATTTTTCTGCCTAACCATGTATAGGAGACATATTTCTAGGTCAGCACATGCAAATGAAGTCACTTTTAAAAGCACTGCGTTGTGAGCTTGCTGTGAATCTGCTATGACTGAATGGACCAAACTCTGTGGAGCAGCTGTCAGGCAGTTTCCAGATTTTTGCTACGGCAGCCCGTGCTAGAGCGCACATTACCAGATGTGTGTGTTTGCTCCCGGAAGGAGCTGCTGGATCAAACAGCACTTGTGTTTTCAGTCATGATGCTGCACAAATCCACACTGCCACACATGGTTCCCTGAGTGCCAGAGTTCATTTGCTTCCACAGCTAGAACTTTTCTTTGATCTTGTTTCACTTTTTATTCTTTTTTTTTTGAGACAGAGTCTCACTCTGTTGGCCAGGCTAGAGTGCAGTGGCACGATCTCAGCTCACTGCAACCTCTGCCTCCTGGGCTCAAGGAATTCTCCTGCCTCAGCCTCCCGAATAGCTGGGATTACAGGTGTGTACCACCACGCTCAGCTAATTTTTGTATTTTTAGTAGAGACGGGTTTTCACCATGTTGTCCAGGCTGGTCTTGATCTCCTGACCTCAGGTAATCCGCCCGCCTCAGCCTCCCAAAGTGCTGGGATTACAGGTGTGAGCCACCGCTCCCGGCCCACTTTTTATTCTTCTCCATGTCACTTTGCTTTTTTTTCATAAAGAAATCCTCCACTACCCTGTCTTTTCAGTAGTTTGGTCTGTTTTTGCTGCTTCCAACATGGCTTTTATTTCCATAGTGGCTTTTTTTCTTCATTGATTGTCCAAAGACAACTTTGGTTTACTTTTTAGTTTACTTTAGTTTACTTTCTAATGGTATGCTGTTTAATATCTATGGCGGTTTTAGAATTGGCCCCATGTTCTTTGACTCTTTGATGCTTCTCCTCACAAGGGTGGTTCTATCTATCCCATCCTTTGAAACTGGCGGCCTTGGCTGCTCTGACCAACAGGATCAGGTGGTAGTGACCCTGAGGCAGTTTCTGGGCCCGGCCTTATAGGCCTGGCAGCCCCCACTTCCTGCCTCTTGGGTAACTGCTCTCAGCCTGCAGCTGCCATGCTGTGAGGAAGCCCGAGGGCCCCAAGGAGAGGCTGTGTGCAGGTGAGCTGGCTGACAGCCCCGCAGAGGTCTCCAGCATGGGCCGGGTCTAACCAGCTGCTCATGGCTGAGTAGTGTGAGTGAGCAGAGTGGAAACGTTCCTCCTGTCCTTCGGGCCACCGTACAACCCCCTGTTGTGAGCAGACGCACTAAACCCTGCCCACCCGGCCCTGCCCACACAGCAGGATGGCAAGGAAACCAACACCTGGTGGTGTTTTTGGCACTAAGTTTCAGGTGGTTTGTTATACAGCAGTGGATAAGGTGACCAGCATTCATGTTTCATCTTCTCTATCTCGTCTGTGTCCTTGTTTCAGACAGGCTGTCTTCTTCTGTCTAATGATCATGATGAGGTACATGCAGCTTTACAACAGGCTTCTTTCTCCAGCGTATCCTGTGCTGCTCATCCTAGGCTGCTGTCTCCCTTGCTCCGCTTCCCTGCTGTCTCTGTCCAGGCCCATGCTGATGCCCTTCTCACAGTGGCTCACCTCTGAAGGGGCTTCCTTCTGGGAAGCCACCGTATGAAGAATGGGGTGAGGAGGGCCAGCCTGAGCCCTGCTATACTCTTGCCTGGCCTTTGTGCTCAAGATGGTGGAGTCTGCCTGCCTGCCTCAGAGCTTGGCTCTTGTGGCTCACCCTTCATGCAGTCCCTTTGCTGGCTGAGGTCCACCGTTCCCCATCACCTACTGGTCCATGGACTGCCTCTTAGGGAATGGTGAGTGGGCGGGTATTGTCACTCAGGGTGGAGTCGCTGACCACTGCAGGGCATGAAACTCAGGACCCCATCTGCCATCCACTAGGTAGATTTTCAGGGTCTGCCATCTATTTCTGAGCACATAGACTTCACCAGAGACCAGCAGAGTTGTCAACCTGCCCTCGGCACCCTCTTTGACTCAGTGGGACCCAATCCCATCACATTTTCCAGTTGGTCAACACAGACCCTAGGTATACACTATGGATGAGTTAATATGAAGATGGAGCTTTCTTATCGTTTCTTCTTTTGGTTGTTATTGGTTCATTTGAGGGTTCAGAGAGGGGTCAAGTCATATTAGCAAGGGGATTGGTCACTGTGAAATTATTTTTTAGGAAGTCTAAGCCTGCACCCAGAACTAGTTTCTACTTTATGTTTTGCTGGAAGTCCACCCTTAATTCTTGATAATCTCTGCCTCACCAAACTGAGGGGTATAGATTTCTTTTAGCTTCAGTCACATAACTGTCTAGATCTCTTCTTTCCAGCACTGCATTTATTTTTTGACACTTCAACTCCTCAGGATACCAGTTAAGCCAATAGAACAATTTCTACATATGTAGTGGACATACACAGATGATGAGTTTATTTGATAAATCTTCACTTCCTAACTTTTACATGTGTAGATAGGTGTTCATTAGAAGGTTATTTTGGAATAGCTCCAAGCTGCGATACTGGAGCTCCAAGCTCCAATAGCTCCATGCTGTGGAACAGTGTTCCACCAGATGTTATGAAATGTCCTATCAGACATGGATGAATCTGGTTTGAGAGATGCAATGCAGCAAAACCCTCTACTGAGATTTGTAATGTTGAGTAGCATGAAAAGGGCTTTGGGGAAATCCTGCAAGAATCAAGCTGTCCAATTCAAACTTTTGAAATTAACTTAATGAAGGAATCCCATTCTTCTTTTTTCAAAATGAATCATCACTTAATACCTCGATTCCTGATCATTCCATGAAACATAATTTAGAATATACTACATTGAGTAAATCTCAAGGTGTGATATATTATTTTTATTTTTTAAACAGTAAAATCAAAGATTATGAGAACATTTCTTATATAGTTATTTTTTAAGTAGCAAAATTGCTTTTTAAAACCATACCAATAGTAAAATAAAGAAAACATACATTTATCTTGTATTTTTTACCACCGGCTGCTCTGAATATTAGCTAAGTTGTACTTACCTTGTAGTAGTTTTCATCAGCACGTAGTGCTTTGGAAAGTCCGAAATCACTGATCTTGGCATAATGTTGAGTAACTAGCAACACATTTCTTGCGGCCAGATCTCTGTGCACAAAATTGCACTCCTCCAGATACTTCATGCCCATGGAAACCTGATGAACCAGTTCTATGATGTTCTTATCCTTGACATGTCTGAAAGTCACAACGATCTCATCAGCTATAACCGACAGTGACCCATTTCACAACAAACAACCATGCTCCTCATGCAGACAGTAGGTGAATCTACTTCCCTCTTCTTAAACAACAAAACTCACAAGTGGTGACAAATAACTTTGTTAGCATATAGCTCTTCAGGACTGAATGCCATATTCTCCTGGTGTTCAATGGGATTGAGTTTCCTGGCATGCTTGGAATTGCAAGACAAGCAGTATAACAGGGTGGTGAGGCCTGGTTCACAGACAGCCAGGCACCACCTTAAATCCTTGTTCCAGTATTGCACAGGTCACAGAACTAACCCTGAGTCTCAGTTTCTCACCTATAAAGGGTAAGAACACCTCCCTTCCATGGAGACTAAAGAGACAATCTAAGTACAAACATAGCACAGCAAACAAAGCAAGCTCCTCAGTAGCCATCATTCTGTCTTACGCCAAGTGAGTTTCCTCATCTCAACAACAGCTTTAGATGAGAACACGATTATTCCCTTGATGGATGTAATCAATTAGCAGCGACTGATATTTTCAGAAGTCATTATTCATGAGGACATAAGGTCAGCCAGATAAAACATAACTGTCACCTCTTAGAAAAGCACTTATTTTAAATGTTTCTTTAAAAAGAATGTGTTCTTCCCAGTGAGAAAGGAGATTCCCTGTCAAGATATTCTGAGGCTGAGTCTATCACTAGGCCAAGACTGAATGAGTACAGAAAGAAAAGAAAGACAAAACTGTCGAATGAGTTCTTCTCTGAACAACTAGAGCTAACAGAGCTGAATCCAAAGATTGTGTCTCCCTTTGTCCCTCTGTCAAGGTCCCTGAGTATGGACCAATAAGGGGAAGGCACAGGAGGGTGGGAAGGCTTCCCACGGAAATCAGGCTGCTCAGCCCATCCAGTGGTGGGCCCTGTCCCTTAGGGGATAGCTTCCAGACCTGTGGGGGCACCTGACAATACCTGTTCTGCTGCAAATACTTATTGAGGGGACCAAGTTCTGCCATCTCCATAACCAGCATCCAGGACTCGGCCTCGCATATCCCGATCATACGCACGATGTACGGGTTGTCCAGCTGCTGCATGACATTTGCTTCTGCTAATAACTCATCTTTAAGAGCGGGGTCATTGGCCTCGTTTTTCAGAATTTTCACAGCCACTGTTTTCACAACTCTGCAAGAGAAATCATAACACTTTCCGAAATGCCTCACTTCTAGATAATCTTCTCCTGTGAAGCATAATCCCCGCGTGGAACCAGTCCCATGGAAATACCTGCCTCAGAGTGACAATGCGTCTTCAGAAGCCTGTAATGGATGGCTGGCCTTCCAATCTACATTCCCTAATTTTACAGACAATGAGAGTAATGCCCCATTACTAAAAAAGAATGGTGGGGGCTGGGCATGGTGGCTCATGCTGATAATCCCAACACTTTGGGAGGTTGAAGCGGGAGGATTGCTTGAGGCCAGAAGTTCAAGATCAGCCTGGGCAACATAGTGAAACCCCGTCTCTAAAAAAAATCAGCTAGATGTGACAGTGCAAGCCTGTAGTCCCAGTTGCTTAGGAGGCTGAGGTGGGAGAATCACTTGGACTCAGGAGTTCCAGGCTGCAGTGAGTTTCTTGCTACTTCACTCTAGACTGGATGACAGAGGGAAACCCTGTTTCTAAAAAATAAAATAAAATAAAAAGAATGGTGAAGAACAGTACTGAAGAATGTCCCAACCAAGCAAAAACCCTAAACTGTAAAATATTTAAATAACTTGTAAATAAACCTCACCAACGATGACATGCACAAATTCCTGTAACATCTTGGGATTCACCATCTCAGATTACGTGTAATGAATGTGAATATAAAATGCCTTTCATAAACGCTGAAAGTGAATTTCTAGGTGCAGAATTTAAAAGGATACATTTAAATGTAATGCTTTGAAAAGGTAAACAACTCTCCTGAGAGAGGCTGAAGAAGACCTAGTAAATGCGGGGATGGGCTGTGTTTATAGATTGAAAGACTCAGTATTGTAAAGACATACTTTTGCAAAATTGACCGAGAGAGCCTCTCCTCTCCCCAAACTCTCTAGTTGAAATTATGTCCACCGTCATAGCTATGTTAATTCACAAATTTAAGCAGAGAATAAAGATCACAACCTTTCACAAACTGAAAAAGCTTATGATTAACACAGAAACATTTTTGTTCATTGTACAAAATGACTGTGATATACAAATATATTTTAAAATAAGTATCACAACCAATTTTGATTGTGTGTATACATGTGCTTATGTATATACTTGTGAATGTATACGTGTGTGTATGTTTGTGTGTGTATACGTATATACATGTATGTGTATCTGTGTGTGTATATGTATATATGTATATACACAGAGATGCACATGCACAAAAACAAATGGAAGGGACAGATTGGAAAGCAAGCATTTCTCCTTCCTTCCTTCCTTCCTTCCTTCCTTCCTTCCTTCCTTCCTTCCTTCCTTCCTTCCTTCCTTCCCTCCTTCCCTCCCTTCCCTCCC